GGGCGGGGTCACTGGAAAAAAGAGGCGTCACTGAAGCTATATTGCGCTATAGCGCCCCTCCCTTCCAAATGTTGTATTACCGCAAAACCAGTACAAGGTTATTCGTCGCAAGCCACACTACCCTCCTGATGCCATACTTTTCAACTTCTATACCTTATCGCGGACCGTTCCTTTAAAGTATGGAATCCTGCAAATTAGTGGAGTTGGATTTGAGAAAAAGGTCTTTGTGAGCAATGTTCCACCGTTGATAGCCTCTACGAAGGTCTTTTCCACTAACCATTAGCTCTCCAGAAATCTTATGGCGTAAAGCTTTCAAAGACAAAAAGTGGAAAAACCGGATTCTAATCGAAAGCTGCACAGGTGAGTAGAATATATAGATCTATTTATTCCTTTCAATAATTACATCATTTTTTGAAAGCCACATGAAGACCATCACCACAGTTGAACAGAGCGGAATGGGTACGATCGTCGTTGTGGATCTAAAGATGTTATTCATTGAGAACCGGATGGAACTCTCCTTTTATATCAGAAGACCAATTTTACTTTAACCATAGCTGAAACATACCATTACGTTAGTTTCATGAATGCCTCTAGTTGATGAATCGAATGTAGATGGATCTTCTGTTACTCGTGCATGCCATAGGGCCTTAAATAGTGTTTCGTTGAATTCATGCACACATTCGTAAAAACAGAACCATCTTTTGAGAATGCACTTCGGTCTAAAAACAGAATTACAGGTAGTTAAGAAGCTAGACTGCGCCCTCCGATTTCAACATGCGGCGCACCTGTAGCGCACAAAATGCCTCTTCTTAACATAAACTCAGATTTTTCAGCGTTCCTTGGAACCCACTCAATTCTGCCTGCAAAGTTCTCGGTTCCCTTCACCTTCAAAAACTTCCAAAGTGCGATTACGCGTACTAGTCTTCGGCGCAGTTTGGCTTAGTGAGGCGGGTCGCCAGCGATCACGCCGATGAGTTCAGTGGAGAACTGTAAATTCTTGTCAGGAAGCGTTCAGCCTTGTCGCGCTTCAATTGTCGCGCTGCAATTGTCGCGCTTCAGTTGTCGCTGTCGCTTGTAATTGAACACGCTACAATTACAAGCGCGCTCCAATTGTACCAGACCCCAGCTTCCCTTTATGTTCTTTCTTCCGGTATTCAACCCCTTTTTCACTGTTTCTCATTTCTACCTGATTCTTAGCTCCTCTTTTTCACTTTGACATTGAATTTAATGTAGTTTTTGACGTTTTTGACGATTTTTTTTGAAACGGTATACAAAATCATTACCAAGTGTTCTGTATCAAAAACGACATTAAAATTCAATGTGAAAGTGAAGAAGAGGAGCGCGCTTGTAATTGTAGCGTGTTCAATTACAAGCGACAGCGACAATTGAAGCGCGACAATTGCAGCGCGACAAGTCTGAACGCTGCCTAAAGATGCGCAATAGCATGAGCGCAGTTTACACCCAACAAGGGTCCACAGCTCTCACAAGATGAGAGAGTAATAAGCTGGCTGGAGAGTAATAATAATAGGAAAGCACCAGCGAATTCCGGGACATCAGAGGAGAGAGCTGTTCATCCCGTGCCCGTATCTTTTGGTGGTTTCGCTTTCTGCTCTTGTGAACCAATTATCTCCTCATATTCCATGCTTGGACGCAAGTGCTTTTACTGTACATTCTATCTTCAGATAAAAACCGCACTTACATTATCGATCATCAGTACTCCTCCTTTCCTCAACAGTTTTACTACTCGATCATAGTAGAGCGGATAGTTTTCCTGTAAAAGAAGTGCGCATTATACTATTGAGAACAGAAATGAATTCAATCATATTCGCACTAATGAATAATTCGTGAAAGGCAAGAAAAGCGAGAATAAAACAGCTCACCTTGTCTGCATCAATGAAGGCAAAATCAAATGTTCCGCTGTGACCATCAGCTATCATTTTATCTGAAAAATCGCTGATCGCAGATTTCCGCAGCACTGCCCAATATAACAAAAAAAATGAGTGCGGAACAAGCTCTGGTAAGTTAGCCAGTGGTGTCAAGGTAGATATGTAGAGGTTTAATAGGGGGAAAAAGCATTTAGTCGCGGCATGGAGTGAGGGGGGGGGGCGTATTCGACCCCAGGAAAAATTTCTAATTATCGACTTATGCGATTTCTCTATTACTTTCTCCTATTTTTGACGGCGACTTTTGGGAAAGTTTAATATGATGATCGGTCGGTTCTGAAGGAGGGGTTGTATCAGATGAGGAAGTTTAGTGGGGGGGGAGGGGTAATCGTATTCAATAAGAAATCTCCTCAACGCCAGCACGTGTCCAGACTGATGTGTCCTTTCCATGATGAACAACGACGTTCTGCGGACTCCCACTATCTGCCTATTCAAGTGTCGAGCTCGACGGTTTCGCAGAAATCTATCGTAGCGATACAACTGAGGATGAGCTCCTCTAGTGAGCATCACCTTCGATTCTGGTTGCTAACCATGAGTTGCAAAGTCTGCTGTCTTCCGATCATCTCCTCTTTTCTAGCTTATGCTATTTGGTTTGCAGCCGAGCGATACAGTGTGACCCTAAGGAGGCACCCTCATTTTAGAGAGCATCACAGCCGAGCTCTGTTGCTGACCGTAAGCTACAAAGGCCGGCGTCTTCTGACTATCTCCGTATTTCTGGCTAACAGTATTCTGTTTGCAGTCATTTGGTTCAAGCTGAATAGCAGGATCCCGCTGCCAGTTCGCCAAGAGACCTTCCTCGATTTTGTCGGTGCCCCAAACCTCACCAATGACCCGATGACCGACCGTTTATGTCCCAGGTGCGGGCGCACGTCATTGTTGAACAGTTTGTTTATTGGTAACACCAGTCGGATGCGCCCCCGGCCTGCTCGGACCGGGCGCTCCTCCTTCTGTGACATGGCCCGGCGAAGCCGGGCCATGCGGATTTGCCGCGTGCTAAGTTAAGGATCGTTGACCAACCACACTGTTCAAAGGAATCTTCTGCATCAGCCAAGAACTGAAAAGCAGCGCTTGTTCCGTCAAGGCGCAGAAGCAGCAGCAGCGCCCCCCCCCCGCATCACAGAAGGAGGAAAGCCGGCCTTAGCCAGCGATCCGACTGGTACGTTCATAACCTACACGGAAATAGTGCAGCCTGTTTTTGGACAGCCACTGAAGCAGCCTATAATTTATGCAATCTGTCTTCCTAAAGCGTCTTGCTTTGGAATGCACTACCGCATTCAGCAGTGGAACCCTTTAAATGGCCCTCACTGAAGTTGCTGATGGAAGATAATTGTGGTAAGAGTGATAAAGTCAGTTGCTGCTGTTTATAACATTTCTGTAAACAAACCACATGCATTTGGAATAGAGCTGGCTTAGCGGTCGACGATGTCGTTACTAATAAGCAGTGAGGAATGAGTTCTGTTGGAATCACTGAGATCGTTATACTTGAGTCATATCGATCGCATTGTTGTTGTGAGCGGTGAAGCGGATTTTCCCATGCTACCTTGTCAATTTTAGCTCCTATCACTTCCGTACCCGCCAATAACACTCCCGTCCCGTATCACTATCATATCACCCTGTATCGGATCAGAGGTCCCACTGTTGCTGTAACCTGCGTTACGAATCTGATGACCCTCCCCTTCCGAGGCCGCTTACCGTATCTTATCAACTGTTATCACTTTCTGTCGCCCGCCAATAATGTTCCCGTCCCACACCCTATATCACCTCACGGATCTGAGTTCCCACTGTTGCTGTAACCTGCGCCACGAATTTGATGACCCTCCTCTTCCGAGGCCCCTTATCGGATCTTATCAACTGTTATCAGCTTCTGCCAGCCCCACCCCGGCATATCAGTACTTGAAATCATGGTCCCGCCGTTGCTGCAACTTGCCACGAATTCGGTCACCCTCCCCTTTTAAGGCCCTTATCGAATCTTATCAAGTGTTATCACCTCCTGTCACCCACAAAAGTGTTCCCGTCCTGCCATGTATATCACTTCTTGAAATCACGGCTGCTGCACTGCGCAGATGATTGGGTCACTCCTCCCCTTCTAAGGCCCCTTATCGAATCTTATCAAGTGTTATCACCTCCTGTCACCAAAAGTGTTCCCGTCCTGCCATGTATATCACTCCTTGAAATCACGGTCCCGCAGCTGCGCTACGATTTCGGTCACCCTCCCCTTCTAAGGCCCCTTATCGAATCTTATCAAGTGTCATCACCTCCTGTCACCCATCAAAAGTGTTCCCGTCCTGCCATGTATATCACTCCTTGAAATCACGGTCCCGCAGCTGCTGCAACTTGCGCTAGATGTTGGTCACCCCCCCTTCTAAGGCCCCTTATCGAATCTTATCAAGTGTCATCACCTCCTGTCACCCATCAAAAGTGTTCCCGTCCTGCCATGTATATCACTCCTTGAAATCACGGTCCCACACCTGCTGCAACTTGCGCTACGAATTCAGTCACCCTCCCCTTCTACGGCCCCTTATCGTATCTTATCAAGTGTTATCACCTCCTGACACCCACCAAAAGTGTTCCCGTCCTGCCATGTATATCACTTCTTGGAACTGTCATCCTATCTTTTCTGCGACGCTCGCTATGAATTTCGTGACACACACACACACACACACACACACACACACACACACACACACACACTTAGCGGATTATATATAGTAGGATGATGCTATCCTTGAGGTTCATGACTCATTTTCGTTCAAAGCTGCTTTGCTCTGAATTGTTTATTGCTGAGTTTTCAGCGACGATCCTTCTAAAGACCTCAAATCACAGCCGTTGAAAAGTTTACATTAACTGCAACATCGAAAACACGTGGTCTTGTTCCTGGGCGTGTCAGCGGGCTTAAAAGGCAGCGCCCTACGTTCATTTGATGTTCCTACACCCTCCTCAGATATCGTAGCTCTGTCGACAAGGGTGGAGGATGTACTAATTTCGCAGCTCAAAAGTACGAGAGGATGGGGCCACCCGCTTGTGAATGGGAGACCGCCCCGCCCACCTAGCAGCCATGCCTGCTTTGGCTTAGCCTTTAAAGGCTGAGCCCGCTTTTAAGAATGACGAGTCATGGAGCTCATATAATACGTGATCCAGTAGTGAAGAAAAAAGCAGAAAAAAAATCATGGAAAATGCCCTAAATAGAACCCTATGCTGGCCAGGTGGGCGGGGCGGTCTCCCCTTCACAAGCGGGTGGCCCCATCCTCTCGTACTTTTGAGCTGCGAAATTAGTACATCCTCCACCCTTGTCGACAGAGCTACAATATCTAAGGAGGGCGTAGGAACATCAAATGAACGCGGGCGCTACCTTTAATATGGCGCGGTGCCACCCGTTCTCCACCAAATGTTGAAGCTAGCAGACGACCATAAGAGGGGGGAAAATTGGCCTTCCTGACATCTCCAGCGTCCGTAGCGAATCATACTCTAGTTGTAGCAGAGATATGAACCGAGTAACCTGTCGGTGTGACGAATTATAAGAAAAAGACGCCCTGATCTAGTTCAAAGAGGAAGCATTTGATGATAAACTATGTATAGCAGTTAACTTCAGGAGGTCACACAGCTAATCTTTCGCCGTTTTTCTCGCTTTATACACTGTTTTCATTCATACATTACTTTTCCATCCAACTATGTTCAAGCGCCACATCGAAGGATCGAGTGGTTTCGTTGCCATATCCACGGGGTCTGCAGAAAATGCCGGAGTAAGCAGCGAGTTGACCAAAGCTCCTCTGCTCTCGCCCGGAAGAATCTTCAGTGGTCATTTAGCTTTTTTAGTTTTTTAGTAGGCGCAGTTCGGCGACGGAGGGGGGGGGACATTTTGCACTTTTGCTGCATCACCAGTTCCGGTTCACACTCTGGGGTGACCTGCGCACATTTGTTAATCTGGAGTAAGCTCGTCTAGTCACCATGGTAGCACCTTTCAACTCTTGTAAGCTCACGAAATGTCTCTCTAGATAGGTCAACGTCGATGAAGAGTTAGCCGAAGTGCAAAATGCCTTCCCCTTCGCCCGAACTGCCCTTTCAGATTATTCGAGTACAATGAAAGGGCTTTACAAGACCTGAGGCTTACCTAACCAAGCCAAAGCAGGTCCCTTGACGGGAACGATCCTCTTGTGTACGTTTGGATCCTTTGAAATTACGGGCACTCCAAACTTTTCATAGTTCTCTGTGACTGGACCATCCAACGTGTTAAACCTCAATTATGGCACATTTGTGAAATTATCAAGAGATAAAAAGCCTTCTCATAAAATTACCTGTCCACCTTCACCAGCTGCCAAAGCCCAGGTGAGTGCACTAGCACCAGTGAAAGTACCGACATCAATCGCTTTCTTGGCACCAATCAAATGCATAAAATTCGAACCAACAGTGAGAACCTGACCACAAACAATCCATAA